ATTAATTAAGTAGATGACCCACTAACTTAATATTTTATTTTCTCGCATACTTATTACGGTTGAAGTCAGCTTAAAAGATATTCGTTTATTAAACTGCTAGTAATCCGATCCATCACAAAATTATAAAATCTCATTTTCAATGTGCTAATCACAATTTATAACTCTAAATACTCACGAAGAATTCAATAATTAAAACATTTAAAATTAAATTATAATTTATAACGCCCTTCCTTACTCGTTTATTTGTGTTTATTTATAAACTTTATATTAAAATTTTATACTTTATCAACCTAACTCCCACTTGATATCTTACTATATAAAATAAATGTTTAAATTAACACTAATTAATATACTTAAAGCCTGTTAAATTTAGATTAAAATAATTAATTTACAATTAAAATGTCACGTCACACGAGTCACGTCCTATTGACAATTAAATATTTTAAACTTACGTTAACCAATTAAACGCAACAGCTTGTGTCTCATTTCATGTGCATACACGTGAAAAAGTATGCATATAATAGTATTTATATAAAGCCAAAATTGAACATGCTTTTGAATAATTAAATGCATATATTTTAGTGTATACATACATATACCAATATAAGATATACTATAAGGTGGTCCATTAAATTATAAAATAAATTAATATAAATATTCTCAATTTTCTATTGGCACGTGATCTAACCACAAAAAACGAGTTAGGACAGATTCTCATGTAGATATAAATTAAATTAAAGTATATTATATAAAGTTAAATAATATATAATACATATATATTTATTATATTATAATTTTTTATCGACATAATAATAAAATATATAATTTAATTTAAATTTATAATAATTATTTAATTAAATATACACGATAATTTTGTTTCAGATAAATTTATTATGTACCGTTAAATATACATGAGAATATCATTAAACATATATTTACAAAGCATACAATATATTAAAGTGGGCATTAAATTTGAAAAATGTTAATAGTATGACACCCCACAATTATAACCACACTACATATTTTCCTTTATATATATATATATATATCTATTTAATCTTAAAATAGTGATAAATTAAATATAAATTTATAACAAATTAATAAAATTATAAAAAAATCACAAACAGAAATATAATTCGAATGATTTTAAGCTATAATTTAAATATAATTATTTAATTTAATTATGTACTAAAAAATAATAAAAATATAAATCAAGTTATTTATTATATACATATACGTGTTTTATTTTATAATATCTGTTTAATAGTATTAAATATAAAATTATTTATTAAAATATAATTTAGAAATATAAATTTATATTAATTAAAAAATAGTATAATAATAAATTTATTTTTTTTAATTAAACTTTTTTTAATAGTGTAATAATTTTTTTTTTTAAATGTATTATCACATTTATAAAAACACAAACATTACCTCATTGGCGCGTGAGGTGAACATGAATGAGTCTTGCTCTGGTAAAAGGCATAAGGGCTTGACTTTTCTTTCGTTATCAGTGTGACGCATAAAGTGCGCACCATTCATAACCTTTCCATACGATCGAAAGACACACGCGCTCCTTAAAGTACTTGGCGCGTGCAGCTTTTTCAGCTTGCATTTTGTATCTCCAACCCGTACTTTGTAACCAGAACTTTAAAAGTGGGTCCTCCCTACCTCAACTACTCGAAAATTGTGCGAGATGATTCGATTTTTTCCGGTACTTATCTTGTCTCGAGACGAGAAAACGAGGTGAGTATATTGAGTATTGACTAATAAATTAATTTGAATTAAAAATAATATTTATAAATTTATAAATTATCTATTTGTTATAATATAAGAAATAAATAAAATTAAAGAGGAATAATATTATGTGAAATATATGGATTTATAATTTTCTAAATTTGGAATTAATAATTGATCATAATTAAAAAGTTTAAAAATACTTTACTTTACTACATTATAAATGTAAAGATCTGAAATTTAAAATAAATGAATTTGTATTTTTAAATGCACAAATAAGTAATAATATTAGTATTTATATTATTTACATAATAAATTAAAATTTCTAATAGAGTTACGAAAATGTACATACTATAATAAATCGTAAAAATAAATAAATAAATAGTTTAAAATAATTAGATAGATGTCATAGTAGTTAACTTCTATTAACTTTTGAATGGATCAGAGAGATAAATTACTCATAACTTTTTTACTAGTCGAGATTTATATTTTGTTCATCTTTATCTAAAATATTTAATAAAATAGTGAGATACATTAATACAATAAAAATATCACATTAATTACTTATAAGAAAAATTAAAAATTGGTAAAAATTATAAAAATAACTAATGAACTCTTTAATTTAAGTAAATTAATTTATTGTGAAAAAAATTATTATTTTTATACTTAGCATTACGAGTTTTTTAAAAATCAACTTATGAATGTCAATATTCGTATAACTATTTATATGTGTAGAGCGGATGTCAGTTTGCCTACCGAGCGGCGTGCTCTGATTCGCTCGGGTTGCTGACTGAGTCATCCCACGTTGTTAAACTTTTTTCTTTTATGATTAACTCTTTATTTTTATTTTTTATTTCAAAAATACTCATCGGATTCAAAATTTCGTTAATTTTATCCATAATATATATTTTTTATCAAAATTTAACAAAATTATATTAAAATAAAATTACATTAATTATTTATATAATCTTTTATAAATAATAAATATTATCTTTAACCGATTTTCGGAACCGAATATTATAATAAAAGTGATAATGATTAAAATGTTAAAAAAAAAAACCATAAACACCAAAAATCATTGAGTAATTTCAATAAATATCTTAAAATTCTATAATTATTTAAAAAATTATACAAAAATATTAATTAAATTTAAGAAATCAAAAGTACAAAGTTACCCAACTTTAAGCTTCCTCCTTTTCAAGTGATGTCAAATTTTTTATTTCCTTCGTTTTTTGTTTAGTTACACGATAAAATTTTAGTATATAAAAATATTAATATATTAATAATTTAAATGTATACAAATAAAATATATAAAAATAAAAAATTAACTTTAAAACATAATATATAAAAAGAAAAAGAGAAAGATAAATATAATAAAAAAATAATTAGCTTAGAAAAATAGTAATCTATAAAAAGTCAACATATAATAAAAATTATAGTAAAATTTTTAATTAATTACATAATTTACGTTTGAAAAATTTATAAGTTATTTTGAAAATTATCATAATTTTTAAAAAAATTAAAATTAATAATTAATAATTATAGTAGTGAGATATTAGCACTCCAAAATAAGTACAAAATATAATATTTAAATTATCAATTACTAACTATTACATAGTATGGTATTAGTAAAGCATATTTTTTTAATTAAATTTATTATTTCAATATAAATTATTACTTACAAGATTTGAAATCGAATTACTCTTGTAAATTTTTTTAATCAAATTTGATAATAAAAAATAAATGATCGGATTAGTTTATAAAATTTAATATTTATTATAATTTAAATTTTAATAATTTTATGATATTTATTTTATTAAAATAATTATAATAATTATTTTTTTAATTAATTGCTATGCGAATAGACATTTATTTATGAGATTTGTTGAGTAGGCTTGTGTTAGTTATCTGCTATGAGATAACGAATATCCAGCCTATTAAGTGAATTATATTATTATATTGACGAGCCTACTAAACCACCGAATGACTCGTAAGAGATGAGAAATCTCTGAACGTTTTTGCTGGAGGGGTTTGTCTCGATGAAATGAGTATTCACTACCGCCTATTCTCATATTCCATATGTTTTTTACATTTTTAAAATTTACGCATTATATATTTAACATGTTTTAGTTTCTAATTAATATTTTTATTAATTTTTATATAAAATATATGATATAATTATTTTAGTATTTTACGTCAAGAAATAAAATTATAAGTTTAAACCGAACAGAATTAGTTTAAAATAAGTAATTAACAAAATTAATAATAATAGTTTTTTTAAATATAAAAAATAACATAAATATTTTAATTTTTGATTAAAAATACAAAATTGAAGGTTTCAAATAAATAAAAAAAATCAAACACTAAATCAGAACAAAAAAAAAAAGTTAAAAAAACCAAATAATCGTAAATATTAATTTTTAAAGGTTAATTTAGTAATTTTATAATACAGTAAATATAAGTTTTTATATACATAAATGTGGGGTCCACTTTTTTAAATGAAGAAACATGAACCAGTAAGAAAATGGATTTGAGACCAAAACACATCAGGCATATAATATGTGGGTCCCAAAAGTCTAGAAAGCGGGTGGAATATAAGGCTTCTTCTGACACGGCTTCTTAAAAAAAAACAAATCCCAAAAATATCGCGATACGATATCAGTCAAACATACCGCGAAAACAGTAAAATAGCGCACGATATCAAACATAGAAGAAGAGGCGTTTAATTTTTGCAGTGCATTGAAAGTGACAGTACAAAGCAAAGTGGGGACCGGGACTGGACGTGTGTAGCGAATATTCACTAGATTTGAATTTGTGGTTTGGAATCCGCTACGCGTCAACACATGCCTTATCAGTTCATTAAGTGATAAGTCAAATGGCTTATCTTCGTATGTCGGGGGACTTATCAAAGATACTGATAACGTATCTGCGTATCACTGATAGGTCAGTAGATAAAGAGAGAAGCTCCCCCCTGTACAATGCATCGAAGATAGCGAGACCAAGTCTCTCTTTCCTTTATCTTCTTCTCTCTCAACGCAGCCTTTAAAACCCTAGAAATCCTCAAAATTCGCGCTGTATTTAAGCCCTAAAAGCTCAAGAGATAACATGTTTTAACATTTAGTGAGATCTGTAGACCATAAATTTGAGCTCAGATTCGGAACTTACCTGAGTTTTATGCTGATTTTTCATATATCTGTGCGCTAAATTAAGAGCTCTGTGCCGTGTGTTTTTTCTTTTTCTCTTTCCTGCTTTTTGTTTGGGTAGTTTTTGCTTTAGGATCATCATCCTGTTTGGCGCTTCAGTTTCGAGGTTTTTTGGAGCAATAATGTCGTCTTTGAGCAGGGAGTTGGTGTTTCTGATACTTCAATTTCTCGAAGAAGAGAAATTTAAGGAGTCTGTTCACAAGTAAGTTTACTTTTCTCTTTCTCTCTGTATGTTCTCTTTTATGTATGTATTTATCCTGTATGGCTTTGGTGTAAAAGACAAACTGAAGGAGGACTGAGGATATAAAAGGAGCTCTGTGAATCTAAAGCTTCGATACCGTGATTTTGTTTGGAGATTTTTCTTGGTGCCTTAGATAGTTGCATTAATTCTGTTTAGTGGGTGTCTTTGTTGTTGTTTGGTTGGCAAAAATGGACAACTTGCTCTTACTTTTCAGGTGTAATCGTTCTAATTGTTAACTGTGGCTATGCTTCCTGAAAAGACGTATTGAAATTGTTTGGATTTAGTAAATTGATTGGGTCTCTGAAAACTATGTAAAAGAAAAAATGAGCTGAATCAGCTGAAACGTATGGATTTTCAGTTGGATTAACATGGAGGCGCACACTAAGTGCTCCCGAAAAATAATATGAAGAAACCACCTTGAGCATAAAACTTTAAATCTGAGTGAATAGCCTTTTCTCTAGCAAATAAAAAAAAAAAGGTAAATGGTCTTATAGTGTTTGATTGTTACTTGGCTACTTTGATCTGAAATGACAGCTTTGATCGTGGTTGCATGATTGGAAATTTATGTTTTATTTTGGTAGGCTGGAGAAAGAGTCCGGCTTTTTCTTCAATATGAAGTACTTTGACGAGAAAGTTCAGGCAGGAGAATGGGATGAAGTTGAGAAGTACTTGTCCGGCTTTACCAAAGTAGATGATAATAGATATTCAATGAAGATATTCTTTGAAATTAGAAAGCAAAAGTACCTAGAAGCTCTTGATCGGTATAGTTTTTCACTAATCATTTTCATTTATATATATTCTCATTTAGTTATATTTTCCAGAAAATATGTATCTTTTTCTCATAGTTACAAAAAGTTTAATTGTTTTCAACAATTGGTATTATAGGCAAGACAAGGCAAAGGCTGTTGACATTTTGGTGCATGATCTGAAAGTGTTTTCAACATTTAATGAGGAATTGTACAAGGAAATTACCCAACTTTTAACTCTTGGAAATTTCAGGTAATTTCCTTTCACATATATAAGAAATCTATGAGTTGCGTTAGCAGGGTATTCTTTTCTATTATTGGCCTTTTCCACGATTTCATGGCTGCTCAGAAACATTAGGGACCAGGAGACAAGCAAATTTGGTTTTATTTACCAAGTAAATATATTAAACAAATAAAGTAGTTTGTTCTGGTGCACAGGAAAGTTACAAAAAGAAGAAGAGAAACTAGGAAAGAAGAAAATGCGAAAGGATATGTGCTGAGACTAAAAATCTATGAAATTCAAAACATACTTTTTGATTGCTTACAGTTGTATAATTCTTTTTGATATCATCCTCTATTACAGGGAAAATGAGCAGCTTTCTAAGTATGGTGATACTAAGACTGCCCGCAGTATAATGTTGATTGAGCTTAAAAAGCTCATTGAAGCCAATCCACTTTTTCGAGATAAACTTGTCTTCCCTACATTGAGACCGTCAAGACTGCGAACTTTAATTAATCAGAGGTAAAGCTGATGTAAGTTAGAGGGCGTCAATGATAGATATGTGTATGCCTGGCTATAAATCATGTCTATTGTATAGAAGCTACCACTCGCAAATCTTACCTTTAAATGGAATATCCTTGATCCAACTGACTTCCTATTTGAGTTAGCTGAAGAAAATTATATTTTGTCGTACTTTTATCATTGTTATGTTTAGGAAGTCTTTTTCAGATACTTCTTCAACATATCTGTCTGTTCTGATGGCTAACACTCTTCCCATATCTTACTTGATAATTATGCTCATCGTGGAGAAAAACAGTATATTGCAGTTCTCTTTAACGTGCTTTTGTAATATATCAACATTCTAAATCCTGTCACGGAAATTTTGGTTTGATGTTTAATTTGTGAGTATTGGGTCCATGCAGTTTGAATTGGCAGCACCAGTTATGCAAGAACCCAAGGCCCAACCCAGATATCAAGACGTTATTCACTGATCACACCTGCACACCTCCAAATGGTCCTCTTGCGCCGACGCCTGTCAATCTTCCTGTTGCGGCAGTTGCAAAGCCTGCTGCTTATACGTCTCTTGGAGCTCATGGTGTATGATATTCCAATTCTAAATTAATTTATCTTGTTTAAGAGGGTTTTTCTCTTGGAGCTGAACTGTATGGATATTTCAGTTTTACATTATCTGAACTTATTAACATAAAAAAGAGTGGGGATTTAACATTGGGAGTTTTGACTAACGAATATTTATTTCATGTTGTGTATAGCCCTTTCCTCCTCCCCTGCAGCAGCTGCTAATGCTGGTGCTTTAGCTGGTGGATGGCATGTCTCTGCTCTCATCTGTCAGCAGCTGTGTACTGCATCATCCATACATGTTTCTCAGAATCAAGGTTAGAGCTGTTATACAGTTGGGATTTGTAGAGTGTCACTCATGAAAACACCTGTTTTAACATCTTTCAACCATTTCCTTTTTCTTTACCTTCTTGTGTGTGAAAATTAGTTTTTTGTCTAAGAAATTTGAATATGTCGTTTCCTGAGTTATTTAGAATCTTATATGTGTGTGCAGTTTACAGCATATTGGAGACTCTCTCTGTTATTTGGTTTCTCTGGTGTCTTAATACTGGATGAAATGAGTTGTCTGGACCTCTGGTTGATTTGACCTTGGAAGTCCAGTTGGTAAACGATACTGATTGAATTAATTTTGTCTTCTCAGTGGCTTCAATGTTAAAACGTCCAAGAACTCCTCCAGCGAACTCAGGTGTAGTTGATTATCCAAATCCAGATCATGAACAGCTAATGAAACGGCTCCGCCCTGCTCAATCTGTTGAGGAGGTAACTGTGACGCTCTTTTACTTTTGTTACTGTTTCACCAATGCAAATATGGGAATGTTTTTTCAAGACTTCTGTGGACATTGTAATTTCTTCTATTTTCAGGTTACATATCCAACCCCTCGACAGCAAGCTTCATGGTCTTTGGATGACTTGCCAACAAAGGTGGCTTTGACTATGCATCAATCATCTACTGTCACCAGCATGGATTTCCATCCTTCCCACCATACCACGCTTCTCGGTGTGAAAATTGGCCTTCTACCACTGGACCTTGTTGCAATTATGATAGTTATGCTCTTCGCAATTAGATACATCATCTTTCTGATATTTTGACTTGCAATGACATTTGAGCAGTTGGTTCTGCAAATGGTGAAATTACTCTCTGGGAACTTGCACTGCGTGAGAGATTGGTTTCAAAGCCATTTAAGGTTTGGGATGCGGCAGCTTGTTCGTTACCTTTTCAGGTTTTTAGATTTCTGGCTACTTCTTATTTTTGAGTTATTTTTTTATTGAATGCTTAAGTGTTAAACGATACCTTGCGTGCTTGAGCTTGAGAATTGGAGGCAATCAATTGACTTAATTTCTTATTTGTGGGCTTTCTTACAGGCTTCTATGGTCAAAGATGCACCAATTTCCGTCAGCCGTGTTACATGGAGTCCAGATGGAAATTTTGTGGGTATGTGCATGTGTATGGATGACTAGCATCTTGAAGGCTCTGCATTTCTATTTATTTTATTTCTGATTGTAGGGGTTGCATTTACAAAACACTTGATTCACTTGTTTGCTTGTACGGCAACAAATGATTTACGCCAGCATCTTGAGGTGAGTCGATATTTTATTGCTTGAAGAGCAATGCAGAATTTGTAACTGCAACTTAACAGGCATTCCTTTGTCATTGGCTAGATTGATGCCCATATTGGTGGAGTGAATGACTTGGCTTTTTCTCATCCAAACAAACAGTTGTGTGTTGTTACATGTGGAGATGACAAACTAATAAAGGTGAGAGGTTGAAATCTCATGAAAATTTTCTATTGAACAGGACTTCCTTGTTATCTAAATGGAAAAAAAAAATGAAACAGGTATGGGACCTGACTGGCAGGAAACTATTTAACTTTGAAGGTCATGAGGCACCTGTTTATTCCATCTGTCCTCACCACAAAGAGAACATTCAGGTGTGTCAGACAACAAAAGAAGGCTACTTTTTCTTCTATTTTTGTTATTTAATTTTCCCAGCAAGCATGTTAAATTAAATCACCTCAAAATCTCTGAAAGCTGCTTGCAATTACTGTATTTTGACTTTTGAATGGTAAATCAAGTCAGACTAATGATTATCAACTTCTAAACCAAAACCTAGTTGTAAGCCAATGGCAGGATTCTTATGAAAGTTCCAGCGGAGAATTTCATAAGACAATTATTTATTCTAGATATTAGTGGCAATTGATTATTGCAAGTAATGGTGGGATTCCAGTGCTGTTGTTTAGTGTTTGCTGATAATCTGTGTTCAAGTTCTATTCTAGTGGAGGCTTTTCATTGATATTGAGTATTTTCATCTACAATTGCAGTTTATATTTTCAACAGCTATTGATGGCAAAATAAAGGCCTGGCTATATGACAATATGGGTTCCAGAGTCGATTATGATGCTCCAGGTCATTGGTGTACAATGCTTTACAGTGCTGATGGAAGTAGGTAAGATCTGTGAATATTGAATCTTGCCAAGTTGGCATTAAAAAGTTTGGCTTTGTCTATTTTCTATAAATTGTGCATCTATTTGTCCTGAATTTAAAAGATTGTGTTCCTAAATATCTTCTGAGGTTGTTTCCTTGGGTTTAATTTTTGAAGTTATTCATTAGTTCTTGTTCTTCTCTCAGATTGTTTTCTTGTGGAACTAGTAAAGATGGGGACTCTTTTCTAGTAGAATGGAATGAAAGTGAAGGAGCAATAAAGAGGAATTATACTGGGTTTAGGAAGAAATCAGCTGGTGTCGTGCAGTTTGACACAACACAGAATCACTTTTTGGCTGCAGGTGAAGATGGGCAAATAAAATTCTGGGATATGGACAATAATAGTGTCATTAGTAGCATAGATGCTGATGGAGGACTCCCGGTTAGTCATTTGATTATTCTAAAGCTCTTCTTTCAAATAGCTTTGTTTTAAATTAGGCACTCGATAGTTACATTTTCTTTTACATGTCTCAGGCACTTCCACGGTTGAGATTCAATAAGGAAGGGAACCTTCTTGCAGTTACAACAGCTGATAATGGATTCAAGATACTTGGAAATGCTGCTGGCCTCAGATCTGTGAGAGCAATTGAAGCCCCATCTTTTGAAGCATTGAGAATGCCAATTGATTCTGCTTCAATTAAGGTTATTATTATTTCTTTAATTTGCTTGATTGACAATGATCACATCTTGAGATATGCATTTTTAAAACATTTTGTTTATTTGTCAGGTTTCTGGTACTTCTGCCGTTGCAACTGCTAGTCCTGTCAATTGTAAAGTGGAAAGAAGCTCCCCTGTCAGGCCTTCGCCAATTCTTGTATGTTCACTTCACATTTCTACATTGAGTTTTGTGAGAATCCTTTTAGTCAGAAAACAGTTTATGTTACGTTATGGCTTAGACATCATATCAACCAAAAGACTGTACACTCTCTGGCAATTCCTTTGACTTCCACGAGGTGGAGTCATTTTGGCTAACAAGGAAAAACTCCTTTTTGTTCATTTTGCTATGGATAAATCTTCCTCCAACCAAAATTTGATTTACTTATTTGTCCTTCTGGATTTCTTCTTTTAGAATGGAGTGGATCCCATGGGTAGAAGCATTGAAAAACCAAGAACCATGGATGATGTTGTTGATAAGACCAAACCTTGGCAGTTGGCTGAAATTGTGGATCCTATCCATTGCCGGTTAGTTACTTTGCCTGACACCACAGATACCTCCAGCAAGGTATGTAAATTATTGGTCTAGCAATTATACTTCGACAGCAATTTTTTTCTCAATCAGTACAGTTCTTACCATTGCATGGCTATCCAGGTTGTTCGTCTTCTGTATACAAATTCTGGTGTTGGTGTTTTGGCGCTCGGGTCAAATGGTATTCAGAAGCTGTGGAAGTGGACACGCAATGAACAGAATCCTAGCGGAAAGGTATTAGCTAAGAAGAAAAAAAGTCACTTCTCTTTCTCCTCCTCTCTTCTTTTTCTTTTTATAAAATAACTAATTTTAGGTTTCTTTTACCTCAATTCAACATTTTTTTTAAATGTTAGTTGATGAAGAATTTTCTAAAGTGTTTTAACCTTTAAAGGCCACTGCCAATGTGGTACCACAGCATTGGCAACCGAACAGTGGTCTTCTTATGACTAATGATGTCACAGGTGTCAACCTTGAGGAAGCAGTCCCATGCATAGCACTTTCAAAGAATGACTCATATGTGATGTCAGCAACTGGTGGAAAGGTTTCATTGTTTAACATGATGACGTTCAAGGTATGTCTTACGTGCATGCAGTTCTAATATGGTAAGTTTTTGGATCTTCAAGGTACCTACTGAAATTGTGGTTTACAGGTAATGACAACATTCATGTCACCTCCTCCTGCTTCAACTTTCTTGGCATTTCACCCTCAGGACAATAACATTATAGCCATTGGAATGGAAGATTCAACCATCCATATATATAATGTTAGAGTGGATGAGGTGATTACATTCTTTGCTTTTTTTGCTTCTTTGGTTGTTCTTTTTGAGTGACTGTCTGCATCTTTTTAACTAAAGCTGATGGGATTTTTTTTTTCACTTTCTAGGTAAAATCAAAATTGAAAGGTCACCAGAAGCGAATCACTGGTTTAGCCTTTTCAACCAATCTTAATATCTTGGTTTCATCAGGTGCTGATGCGCAAGTAAGTATATTTATGGTATTGTACTTTATGATTTTATAGTTATCCGTCAATTTCAGGTTTGGATTTTGTCATCATTTGAAGGAGCTTTCTATGTGTCAGATATCTTAAGTTTCTTGGAGTTGAAATTGGAATATAATTGACAATTTCAAAAATTGAAATTACTGAGGTTCCTATTTCCTATCAACGGCTGCTCCATTATCTTCTATTACTGTATATGCATGTCCTGCCAAGAGTTCTGGAAAAGGAAAGTTTAGGCTGTCATGTAGATGGGCAGCTTGAGAATTTAACAACTTTTTGGAACCTACAAATCAAATAAGGCATTTTTTTAACGGTAGTTGTTTCCATAATGAAGATTTTTGCACAATGGAATTACACAGAAGGCCAGTTGTTAAATTTGCTCCTAAATCTGATTCTATGTGCTTTCGGTAAAACATATATATGAACATCACTGGAGGTCCAATCTGCTCATTTGCATGTGAAATGATATTCCTCTTATTACAAAACCCCTTTTTTTATCCTGAATTTATTATTGTGGTGATCTCCTGTAGCTTTGCGTGTGGAGCATTGACACATGGGAGAAGAGGAAGTCAATTAATATCCAGATACCTGCTGGAAAAGCTCCCACGGGCGATACACGTGTGCAGTTCCATTCTGATCAGATACGCATGCTGGTTGTTCACGAGACACAGTTAGCAATATATGATGCCTCTAAGATGGAACGTGTTCGACACGTAAGGGTTGGTTATATACTTTTGACAATAGATTGCAGTACAAGAGTAATAAAAAAGATTGTCTTTGTGTTCTATTGCAGTGGGTTGCACAAGATGGATTGTCTGCACCTATATCTTATGCAGCATACTCCTGTAACAGTCAGTTGGTTTATGCTACCTTTGTTGATGGTAACATTGGAGTCTATGATGCGGACAGCCTCAGGCTAAGATGCCGAATTGGTCCATCAGCATACTTACCTCAATCTATCTTAAATGGGTAAGTTAGCGTGTAATAATGTCACAACAAGGTCACTTCTCCCTCCCTTTTCAAAGCACTTCTGCTCTAATCTTTATAATCATTCATGGCCCCCATTTTGCAGAAGCCAAACTGTATACCCTCTTGTTGTTGCGGCACATCCGCTGGAGCCAAACCAATTCGCTATAGGGTTGACAGATGGGTCAGTTAAAGCGATGGAGCCAACAGAATCCGAGGGGAAGTGGGGTGCAAGTCCACCAGTGGACAATGGCATGCTCAACGGTAGAACACCATCTTCATCTACCACAAGCAATCACACACCAGACCAACTGCAACGATGACGAGCTTCCTTGTATTTAAGACTCCATCTGTATCTTATCCATGTAGATTTTAGGGTTAATACTTAGTAGTCCTTCACCGTACATCTCATCAAAGGTAAGCTAGGACATTGTTGACTAGAGATATTTGTTCTTGTATACTACAGGGTTCTAGTTTCACCTCCACTTCCAACTTCAATTTGGTTCAACTGTCTTTTTGGCGTCAAAAAGAGTGCCTTGGTTCATTCACAGAAATGCTGTATAATTCATCTTATTCCTTGTAATAAACTCAATTAACCCTCTCTGTTTCAACTTGGGTTTTGGGGCATCCTACATATTTCTCAATGAATTCCGTCATTCATTGCTGGTATTGAGTTAGTCCATTCAGGATAGTTTGAGTCATATCTCTTTACCAGTTATGAATAGAATGAAAGTTCACTTATGAGCTTCTTTTGTCAGCGTCAAATACTTCACAAATACTTGATTTGTAATTATGTGTAATCTGTTAATTACGGACAATAACTCAACTTTAGGGTTTTAGCTCTTTGAACCAAGTTTCTGAGAATTTTTTGTTGTTTTATTCGGTGTTTAATCTTCAGTCAGATACTTAGAAGGAAAATTTTATTTATAGAGTGTAAAAACTTGTTCAATCATGTCAATTTTGAATTTATTTTACTAAGAACTTGGTGTGAATTTAGACATGGAGCTTAAATTTAAGCTTGCTGGATAACCCCCCCCTTCTCCTTGCCGTTTACTGGGTTCAGGTTTGCCCAAGCCCAAGCCCAAACCTACTACTTGTACAAACTGCACCCTTTTTCTTCTAGCCTCGGCAACGCAAGCGTAGGTCTGCGTCTAGTCCGGTCTGGTCGTTCGTCTCTCTGTTCTCCTCTCTTTCCCTCGCCACGGGAGGGTTAGGGTTTTTTCCTTCTCAGATATGATGAACTAGGCACTTCATTATATTAGAAGAAGACGACGACGAAACAGAAAGAATATGGCGAACAGGACGGATCCGCTGGCGAAGAGCATTAGGGGGACGAACCCGCAGAATCTGGTGGAGAAGATAGTGCGGTCGAAGATATATCAGAACACCTACTGGAAGGAGCACTGCTTCGGCCTTACCGCGGAAACCCTTGTTGATAAGGCTATGGAGCTTGACCACCTCGGTGGCACCTATGGCGGCAACAGTAAGCCCACCCCCTTCATGTGTCTCATCCTCAAGATGCTCCAAATCCAGCCCGACAAGGAAATTGTCGTCGAATTTATCAAAAATGACGACTACAAGTATCCATTATTCCATCCTCCTCCTCCTCCATTAAGTATAAGTTTTCTACCCAATTTAAGTCATTCAAGCTGATTGGTTTCTGTTAATCACGTTTATTAAGGTATGTGCGTATTCTTGGTGCTTTCTATCTTCGGCTTACGGGGACCGACATTGATGTGTACCGCTACTTGGAGCCTCTGTACAATGACTATAGAAAGTTGAGGAAGAAACAAGATGATGGATGTAATTATTTTCTCTCTCTTATTTTCCTTTTCGTGTTGTTCAATTTCCTTGCTTTCATTGATAAGTTTACTTCCTTCGATTGTCTTTGTATCAGACTTTACATTGGTGCATGTTGATGAGGTCATTGATGAGCTTCTTACCAAAGATTATTCTTGTAATATTGCTCTTCCTCGTATTAAAAAAAGGTGCTCGCTCCTTTATTTTCTTTTTGAGGAAAAAAGAAATCCTTCGTTCAGGACTTAATCCTTCTCCTTCTTCCTTTATTAGTACTGATAGTTGAGTTGATGGCTGATTATTGTTCTTATCTGAGATGTTTGCTCGGTCTTTGAACCAACAGGTGGACTCTCGAATCTCTCGGTACCCTAGAACCCAGGAAAAGTGTTTTGGAAGATGATTTTGAGGAGGAGGAAGAGAAGGAAGAGAATGATGGACTTGAAGATGGATTAGATAATGAAAAGGTTTATGTCACCTCCATTTCTTTCTGGCTAAAATAGTACTTTTTTCATTATTTCTTTCTCTTGTTTTGTTTGAAATCTATCTTGTTTAGTTCCCATATGGTTACACGACCCTATGTCTATAGCAGGATTATTACCGTCGGAGTCCTGCAAGAGAAAGAGAGCGGGATAGAAGACGTGACAGTCACAGACACAGGTATCAACCGTATATCATTAGAGTTTGTTATCGATGAATTATTTCATTGTTCCCTGATGATTTTACTAGTATTCGATAACCAGTTTCCTGTAATAAACACTCCTGTCTTTCGAAACACGGTATCTTTTTCCTTACTCCCTTTCAGTCTCCTTGTGCTTCAATGGGAAAATTCTAATAAGTAATTACAGTAGAGAATGTGTTATCTGGAGAAGTATTCTTGTCTGTTCATATTCTTCCTTCTTGAAAGGAGGAGAGGTTTTAAACCAGGTGAAGTGCACTTTTCTCATGTTAGATATGTGCTGGATTACGTCTGTTATTTGGAAAGAAAATGAAAAAAAAAAGCAAGAAAATGTTATTACTTCTCCAGCAACATAGATACTATATATTGGTACATATCCAAGTCTTGTTGGATGATACTCTAGCGGAAGCTGTTCTCCTCTTGCAAGCATATCCATTTGCATATGCACAAATATTTTTGACTTTCATGTTTCCCCTGTGGCATATTAAGCCATAGATGGTGTAGTCAGCTTCCTATAGTGAAATGATATGATCCTGCCAGGTTTCTCTGCACTGACAGTGTGCAGCGAGAAGTATGATGGATCAGACAACATAATTGTATTCTGTCTTAATTACAGAAAAACTATTATTTTCAGTAGGTACCTGTTGTCATGGCATCTGAATTGTCTCTACTTCGGTGTGCTCTGTAGAAATATTGTACACTATGATTGTAGTTTTATCACAATTGCAAAGAACTTATTCTCTTTGCTAACTGAATATGAGTGCAAGGACCAAGTCATTTTGGTCTTTTCCATATCGTATTTGGCTTTTCATCTATATTTGTTTATTTATTTGGAAGGATCACTTCTCTCTGTTAAGTAACGTGCAATTTTACCACATCTACATGCATGCATACACTCAAAGCCAAACATTGCTAAAATGTTGCTAGAATGGATGGAAAGATGGATGCTATTGGTTGCCTGAAAACATTTTCCAGTAAATTGGAATGTCAAGGCTGCTGCTACTTTGTTTACTGTTCAAAGGAACTAGTAGCGCACTGCAATTCCATTTGGAATGTGATTCTGATATCATCTTATGTGGTGCTAGCTATGATGAATTGTTCACTTATCTCTACAAATCCTAGATGCTGCTGTGTCTTAGGCCCAAATGGGTTCATAGGATTCTTCAGTTTGTTTTGTATAAAGCTTTATTCTTTTCTTGATATTTCAGGGACCGTGACTATGAAAGAGATCGTGATTATGATAGAGACAGAGACTATGATAGGGATAGAGATTACGATAGGGAACGGGGACGTGGAAGAGAAAGAGAGAGGGCCAGAGACAGAGACAGAGACAGGGACAGGGACAGGGACAGGGACAGGGACAGGGACAGGGACAGGGACAGGGATAGGGATCGTTATCGCTTGAGAGAGGATAAGGATTATGGTCGTGATAGGGAGAGAGATAGAGATAGAGAGGGTAGGGAAAGGGAGCGGCGTGAGAGAGACAGAGATCGTGGCAGGCGTAGGAGCCATTCAAGGAGCCGAAGCAGGAGTAGAGAACGCAAGAGACATGCCCGTGATAGCGCCAGCCCTAGAAGACGTGGGGATGGACCAGATGATGGTAACACTCATGAAGAGCCAAAGAAGAAGAAAGAAAAGAAGGAAAAGAAGGATGATGGAACGGACCACCCAGATCCAGAGATTGCAGAAGCTAATAGGCTTCGTGCATCCCTGGGCTTGAAACCTTTGAAATTATAGGCATGTGGATAGTGGGTCTGTTTTTTTGAAAAGTTTTACCTTAATTTGGATGGATTTGGAAAGGCATGTGGATCTTCATCACTACATGGCTAGTGTCACCTGTATCAAATATGAGCAGTAACCTATGCAACTGGCTCGGGGCATGTTTCTTATGCTGGTTTTGCTTGGTTTTCCTGTTAAATCTATGCTTTTCACATATCAGACAGAATTTGATTTGCTGGCACATCTTTCACTTTATGTTGTTCGAAAATATTTTCTTGACAATGTGCATTCCCATTAGTTTTCCGAAGGGCTGCAGAATTTTCTTGGGAGAGGGAGAAATATCTGCCGTTGCACTAAGAGATGGACATATGAAAGGTTATCGTGCAATGCCTGTACCTTATTTTTCATTACTTTGTTACTGGAAGAGAATTGGAATTGCCTGTAAATTTTATATACTCAATTATATGTTATTAATCATAGCAATCAATTGCATTTGTCATACCCAATGTGTAAGAAATTTTTTCATTTCATCCAGTTGCAGAGTTAGCCATGAAACTACACTGTAGATAATGTTGAACTGAGGAAGAGGACACGTTTCAAGTGTAAAAGCGAATGGAATGATTTTCTACAGGACCTAAAGCAAGTGTTCCTGCAGACGGTTAAACATGGGAGAACAAAACCAATGAGATCCCAAATCAGCAGCTACATGTCTCTCAAACGTCATCACGGAAGGAGCTCTGGCAACAAAATCCCATTCTGATCATACTTGAGGATACCAGAAAAGTTAAGTGGCCTGCATTTCTCCCCCATTAGAATCCTCTTCTTGCACAGTTCCTCACCACCTTCATCTTCTTCCTCTTCCGATTCTCCTCTGAACCACCTACTCAACTTCTTATCGCCCAAGTTTCCCACCTTCAACTTTCTCCAGCTGCTTAGATTTCTGGAGATGACACTCGGCAAGTTTTCGCCATCACCAGAACGATACACCTTTGCTGATCTCTTTTTACCGAAGAAACCAGACAAGATCGTACCCACCCTTTTTGGAAGAAGCAGCTTTTTAGCCTTATCCAATTTCTCTCTCATGCTGCCGCCATTATCATCTTCTTCTTCGTCCCCTCCTTGGCTATGACTCCTCTGGTCTGTCTTGATCAACAATTTGGGAACCTTGAATCTGATATTTTGCTGTGATGTAGTGATGCTCGAGAAGTACGAACGTGGAGATCTTGGTGGGAACTTGGATTCAGTCGGTGCTTCTTGTATCATCTTCCTCTCCATTTGCTTCTCTGATTGATTGTCCCTTGAGCGGTAAAAAATCTTGCAGTTAAAAGTAGAATGCATGCAAGCTTGAAGAGAAGAAAGAATGGTTAGAAAGAAGTGGAGGAGAAAGATAAGAGGGGGGAGGGGGGAGACGTGGGTTGAGTTGATGAGTTCCCTGCTTGTGTGGGATTTTGATGCTTTCCAATCATAATTATAATTAATTATTCTGCTTAAAAGTTTAATTAGTGGATAATTAGATCAACGTAATTAAATTAGAAAGAGAAATTAAATTTTGTTAATCACCGTCAGATATCAGATTACTCTTCCTAATTTCATCCAAATTTAGATAATACATGATTATAGGCATATCTCATGCAAGTCAATTACTTAGTAAAAATATATTGCATGGGCGGCACTACTCCTATTTATATGTCGACATTAAAATAAAAATAATTTACAGATCAAACATTTATTTATTAAATTAATTAATTAATTAATTAATTAAGCGAGATTTAAATTTTATAACAATTTAATATAATTATTTATTTATAAAAACAAAATGTATTTTTATTTTTTGAATTATTTAATATTTTTATTTATTTATATAAGAAATAGTTGGGCTTCGAACTACGGAGAAGGAAAGCGGTAGACAATTGGGCCAAGGAATTACGGGTCGGTTCAAATTTCCACTAAATTGAACCCGAAAGTATTTATAGAATCATGCCGGATCATCACAGGGGGGGGACTAAAACCCTAGGTTCTTGTTATCTTCCACAACACAACTGAGTCTGAGAGAAGAGCGGCCATTGCTAACTCCTCAGGTAAACTCTCCATATCCGTCTCTCTGATATACGGCTTAGCTCACATGTAGATGTTCCCCGTATACGTAACGCAAGGAAGAGTTTTTCTGAATCTTCGTAAATTTTCTTCTGCGATTATTGTTGTCCGTTAATATGCTTTTCTGCTTCAATTCCCGCGATTTCTCACGAATCGATCTGCGCTTTCATTTCTGATCCACAATTGGGGCTTGTAATGGAAATAAAACAAAATCGAGTGAATCGTATAGTACTCGGTTCGGAGGAGCTAAATTTGAGTTTTTGAAGCTGTTCGGTAATGCCTGCTAGAAGATCTGCCTGGGGTTAACATTTTTTCCATTGAATTTTTTGGTTTTCTATTTTGAGGATAATTTTTTTTTTTTAACTGCCCGGGGATGGATTTTATGGGAAAAGAGAAAAAAAATTATATCTTGAAATAGTACGGATTACGGTGAGATTGTTATTATTCTGGGAAAATTAAGATTCCTCTTTTTTTGTAATGGAGTACGATGCGTTTCATTTTACTTTTCTTGTTGGGTAATTTTGAAGCTTATGAGCATTTTTTGAATTCTGATGTGAATTGACATGGTTCATATGGCCTTCTAGATTGTTCTGATTCGGTTTTGGTTTTCTTTTCATGATCATTAGTTTCTGATTGCATTTTCTTTATTTGAACCAGGCTGATAACTTCCAACTGAAATATGGCAACTTTTGCCAAGCCAGAGAATGCTCTAAAGCGAGCAGAAGGTTTGTCGAATTTGATATCTCTTGCTTTGCATTAATCCTTTTGGACAGGAGAGCTTCTTGGGAATGCTCTAAGTAGCCTTTGGACAGGCTTTTACAACTTCACTATTACATTTGATCTTAATTGGGAATGGTGCCATACATACATTTTGTATGGCCTTGAATTGTCTGGACTGAATTTTTCCGATGTCTGGTGGCATTGCTAATTTTACCCATAAAACTGTTGCATGATGAAATGATGTATTTCTAATCTCAAAAAAGGTGTTGCTGGCTCCTACAAAATTTAGGTAAACCAATGCAATCAAGTGATACATAGTTCTATGTGGAAATACCAAATAATCCTGCTTGTGCTAGATCGATATAGGAAAATTGTCTTTAACACGATAAAGAGAAAGTTAGATGGCAGAAAAATTTTTAATGAAGCACAGAAACATGCGAATGATGAAAATTGAAATAAACAAGTTCAAAAGTACAGAATGGAATCAACTTTGTCTCGGGTATCATTTTTGATGTACTTGATATAAAAGAATAGAAACTCAGTCACTAGAAAAAATAGTATATGAAATCAAATGCTAAAGTAAGAGGAGGAAAAGGAAAGAAAAGAACAGGTCTAACAACAAGCGACTTCCAATTATTTGGACTTTGCTTGAATGTGTTCAATGAAATTGAGGATTAGTACAGCTACTATCATTTTGTTTTTTTTTTTTTTCAGAATCATTTTGTAAGTTATTCAATTTTTAAGTTTTGGGAGTACTATTTTTCCCCATTTTCCTCACCTCTCTCCCCCTACAGAATAGTTCTATAGATGTGTTAATTTGTGTTTCTTACTAAGTTTTTGACATCAGAAATGCGAAACATTGGCTATTGCATGTGGTGCTGTCTGAACTTAATTGTTCTTCATGTGTTTTATATTGCTTTATTGCTTTTCTGATGTTTTTGAAACTTTATAACTTGTCATAGCTTGCAGATTCCCATCATAGATTTTTCTGGTAACAAATGTTGATGTCTAATGCCATGAGCTTCCTGTGCATATTTAAAATGACCTTTTATGTATCTCATGGATGCAGAGTTGATCAATGTTGGCCAAAAACAAGATGCACTTCAAGCACTTCATGATCTGATTACTTCCAAGAGATATCGAGCTTGGCAAAAGACGCTTGAAAGGATAATGTTTAAATATGTTGAGCTTTGTGTTGACATGAGGAGGGGTAGGTTTGCAAAGGATGGCCTGATTCAGTATCGTATTGTTTGTCAACAAGTGAATGTTAGTTCATTGGAGGAGGTGATCAAGCATTTTATGCATCTTTCAACTGAGAAAGCAGAGCAAGCTCGTAGTCAGGCACAAGCCCTGGAAGAAGCCCTTGATGTTGATGATCTTGAAGCAGATAAAAGGCCAGAAGATCTTATGCTAAGTTATGTCAGTGGAGAAAAGGGAAAAGAGAGATCTGATCGTGAACTTGTCACACCTTGGTTCAAGTTTTTGTGGGAGACATATAGAACAGTGCTTGAAATATTACGTAACAACTCTAAGTTGGAGGCATTGTATGCGGTAGTTCCTACTTGAAACAATACTTATTATTAGTTTCTTGCAATTAAAAAAATGGAAAACTTGAATATTTTGTTTGTAGGGCGAGCGTGCATATTTTATGTCTTTTATGTCATACTGAAACATTGCTGATTGTGCAAAATGTACTTGGACTGCTAATCTTGTGCTTTTCATTATAGGAATCTAACTCTCATTACTCCATGAAAGATGAAATTGTGCTAAGCTTTAGATATCATGTGTAGATGACAGCACACCGGGCCTTCCAGTTTTGTAAGCAGTACAAACGGACAACAGAGTTCCGGAGGCTCTGTGAGATAATCAGAAACCATCTAGCAAATCTTAACAAGTACAGAGATCAGAGAGATCGCCCTGATTTAACAGCCCCAGAGAGTTTGCAACTTTATCTTGATACAAGATTTGAGCAGCTGAAAGTTGCTACTGAGCTTGAGCTCTGGCAGGTATCTGATATTTACTTCTTTTAAATTGCTTAATTTATTTTATATTTGGTGTATTTATTTAGCAATTTGTGGTTAATTGTTATTTGTCTTGCTGCATGCACAGGAAGCTTTCCGTTCCATTGAAGACATTCATGGCTTAATGTGCATGGTTAAGAAAACCCCAAAGCCATCCTTGATGGTGGTCTATTATGCCAAGCTTACTGAGATTTTCTGGATTTCATCTAGCCATCTTTACCATTCGTATGCATGGTTCAAGCTTTTCACACTTCAGAAGAGCTTCAATAAGAACTTAAGCCAGAAAGACTTGCAGTTAATTGCATCATCAGTTGTATTGGCTGCTTTATCTGTTGTCCCATTTGATCATCCCCGTGGAGCATCTCATCTTGAAATTGAAAATGGGAAAGAGCATAATTTGAGGATGGCTAATCTTATAGGATTCAGTCTTGATCCTAAACTGGAGAATAGAGAAGTGGTAGTAAATCGTACTTTACCTGCTTTTCTTTCATGTCATTTTATAATGCTTTATCATTTAGAGTTTGCTGACTATTTTGCACTCTTTCCCAGCTTTCAAGAGCATCCCTTCTAGGAGAACTGGTAAGTTCGAAGTTTATTAACTATATATACTTAGATTGGGAATTTCGGCTATTTTGTTTCTTCTATAGCATGTCTCTCGTGTATTCTGCAAAGTTATAACCTCCAAAAGCCAGTGTTTGAAATAATAAAGTTTACGTTGAATCTGCAAGTAATGGGTTTATTCATTGTGCAGTTCTGATTTTATGTAAAGTTATAATGAGTTTTTAAGCTAAAAAGATATTACCTTTGTCCCTGCCCCTGATTTATTCACCATTAGTAAGTTCTGTTATGAACTTCTCGTTTATGTTATATTTCTTGCATCTGGATCATTATATACTGTACAGGCCCAGGGCATGTTTGTATAATTTTTTTCTCCTTCATTTAACAATTGTTGTAGAGTTCAAATTTCTATGCTTTGGTTTTAGTTTCTGAATTGTTGAAAATTTTAAAAGCCATTCAGATTTTTGTGGCCCACTGTTTACATAACTATTGAAGTTATCTGATGTGAGTTTCTTTCCTATCAGGTCTCCAAAGGTGTAATGAGCTGTGTGACTCAGGAAGTTAAAGATCTTTACAATCTTCTGGAGAATGAGTTTCTTCCTCTGGATCTTGCATCGAAAATACAGCCATTGTTGAGCAAAATCTCAAAACTTGGGGGCAAGCTTTCTTCAGCTTCATCTGTACCAGAAGTGCAACTTTCCCAGTACGTCCCTGCTTTGGAAAAGCTTGCTACTCTGAGACTGCTTCAGCAGGTTATTTCCTTTCTGTTTTTTTCTGGTTGCTCTTGTTCCTTTATTTGGCCATTGTTGCATCTTATTTATATTTCTGTTTGCATTCTCTTTTTATGCTTTTTCAGGTGTCTCATGTATATCAGACGATGAAAATTGAGAGTTTATCTCAGATGGTTCCCTTTTTTGATTTTTCTCATGTGGAAAAGATATCAGTTGAGGCAGTGAAACATAATTTTATAGCTATGAAGATTGATCATATGAACGGTGTTGTACTGTTTGCTAGTTTGGTAAGCCGGCATTCTTGCTTGGAGATCCTTGTTTCTCACGTTAATTATTAAAGTACTGATTGTCTTTAGTGATACTCATCCTACTGAATCATTCAGGGTCTTGAATCTGATGGGCTGCGGGATCACATGGCTGTTCTGGCTGAATCTTTAAATAAAGCAAGGGCTATGATATATCCTCCTGTTAAGAAGGCATCAAAACTAGGTGAATTGTTGCCAAATCTAGGGGATATTGTGGATAGGGAACACAAGAGGCTTCTTGCTCGCAAATCAATCATTGAGAAAAGGAAGGAAGAACAAGAGCGTCAATTATTGGAAATGGTATTCCTAATCAATATTTGTTTTTCCAACAGTATGTGACATAATTGTTATCTGTGTTGGTAGCATGGCAATTAATAAGTTTCTAATTAAAAGAGTTATCTGTGTTGGTAGCATGGCAATTAATAAGTTTCTAATTAAAAGAGTATTTTCCTGGAAATGTGTTTCTCAAGGAACGTGAGGAGGAATCAAGGAGGCTTAAGCTCCAGAAGATAACTGAAGAGGCAGAGCAGAAGAGGCTAGCTGCCGAATACGAGCAACGTAGGAATCAAAGGATTCTCCAGGAAATAGAAGCACGAGAGCTTGAAGAAGCACAGGCACTACTTGAGGAAACTGAGAAGCGCCTTAAAAAGGGAGGAAAGAAGAAACCAATTTTGGATGGAGTAAGTTAGAACTTTGTATCACATGGTTTCAGTTCTCTCCACGTTGCAGGGTGATTGACATTTTGGCAATTCTATTTTTGTCTAGGAAAAGGTAACAAAGAAGAGTCTGATGGAGAGGGCCTTGAGTGAGCAACTGAAGGAAAGACAAGAAATGGAGAAGAAGCTACAAAAGCTTGCTAAAACGTTGGATTATTTGGAAAGGGCAAAAAGAGAGGAAGCAGCTCCCTTGATTGAAGCTTCTTATCAGCGAAGGCTGGTGGAAGAGCAGGTCCTTCATGAACGTGAGCAACAGGTAGAACTTGGACTCCTTGTTCCTCCGTGATAGACTTAGTAGCATTTGGTACTATTTTTATGTTTCCAGAACATTTTTGTCGTCCATGGCATGTTTGGATTGCTCTCTCGTTGCTCCTAGTTTCTATTTATACAGTTGTGGTGTTCCTATTGTTTTACATTGTTTCTTCTGTTGATTTACTGATGTAAAGTGTGAATTATTCTTTTATTTATATTCTGCAGCAAGAGGTTGAGCTGAGCAGACAGTGCCATGATGGAGACTTGAGGGAGAAGAACAGACTGGCACGCATGGTGGATAACAAGGTTAGTACCAGATTGGTTCGTGCATTATAAGACAGTTTCTGCCAACATGAATTGTTTTGTTACTAGATAACTAGGTCTTGAAACTTCATTTTTTGGCCTGTAGTGTTTGCTAGTTGGTATTGAAGTTATGTTGACAGCAGAACTCTTGTGAGGTTTGTCTATCATATGTTATGCTGATCCTTTTTTTTCCAACAGTTTGTATTCCAAGAAAGAGTAATGAGCCGTCGGAAATCCGAGTTTGACCGACGAAGAGCAGAGAGGGAGGAAAGAATAAACCAAATCATTCAGGCTAGGAAACAGGAGAGGGAGCTTAAGAGGAAGAAAATATTCTATGTGAGATCTGAAGAGGAGAGACTGAGAAAGCTGCATGAAGAGGAGGAAGCCCGCAAACGCGAAGGTATTTGCTTTTCATTTTCAAGCAAAAGATAGGTTTTATTATTAGGCAGCTTAACTTCTTTTGAGGATTCTTCGAAGTGATCATTTCTGTACTATAAAAAATTGCTAACCGTGATGAATTGACATTTTTTGAATCATTCAGAGGCTGAGAGACGTCGGAAGGAAGAAGCTGAGCGCAAAGCCAAGTTGGATGAGATTGCTGAAAAGCAGAAGCAGAGAGAGTGGGAATTGGAAGAGAAAGAGAGGCTGAGAAGGGAAACCTTGCTCAGGCCAGCTGAGGTGCCGTCCAGGGCTTCTGAAGTTCCCACTCGTCCAGCAGAGGCTGTCACTCCAACTCCAGCTGCGGCAGCTGCAGCCCCAGCATCAGCTGCTGTACCAGCCCCTGGAAGGTATGTGCCTAGGTTTCGCCGGGGGGATAAAAGTGAATCCTCTGGCCAGGCACCACCACCTCAAGACTCTGATCGGTGGAGTGGCAGCAGCACCAACAAGCCCCCGTCTTCTACTGAAGACCGATGGGGCGGCAGAGGACCTCCCCCTGAAACTGATCGTTGGAGCGGCAGAGGACCTCCCCCTGAAACTGATCGTTGGAGCGGCAGCAGAAGCAGGGCCCCACCTGCGGAAGGTGATCGGTGGGGTAGCGGTCGATCAGATGACCGTCCTGCTAGTGACAAATGGCGGGGTTCCTCCTTTGGTAGGTCCACTGCATCTAGGGTCCCACAACGCTGAGTGATGACCAGGCTACAAGTGTTGGTGAGATGATGCTTGTTGGAAGGGGGTTAATTTTGACATGAAATATCTTGGACGAACTGAACTACCTTAGTGGGTTTTTTTTTTTTTTTTTTTTTTTGAGTAAAACCTCGTATTTGTCCCATAACTTTTAAGGAATAATTGTTCTTGTTATTGACTGGAACCTGGTTGGGTTTGGTTCTTTTGTTTTTAAATTTATTTTTACCATTGCAGTGTATTGAGATGGCAAGCCTGAGGAACTCTTACTGTAATCTGTTAGTACTTCAGACTTGCACGAGTTATTTATTCGGTTGCTACAAGCGTGGACTTCTTTATATATATATATATACACACACACACACACGTCAAATTTAGAATTTAATTTTTCAAATTCAGAATTTTAGAGGTTCTCACAAAAAATGTGAGATAAGAAAAGTCATATCCCTTTTTCTTCAGGAGATGGTTATATAAATTTTTAGGATTTATATAAAATAAATTATAACTTTCTTAATAAATTTCTGGCTTCAAAGGTATAAAAATAACATAATGAGCATTGTACGAAAAGTTATTATGAAATTCTAAAAATCAGATAACGAAAAATAAATATGTAGATTGTTGGAACGAACATCACAGATCGTGTGCAGCCCAATTTGAGAAGACCAGTGTATCTGTGATGGAGCCCATGTCTGATCTAATCAATGGGTTCGCCCATTCAGTCTCTCAAAACCCTTCTTCTTCCTCCCTCTCTCTCTCTCTCTCTCTCTCGCCATCTGGTTTCCGCCATACACGTTCGCTTTACAGTTTTATTAGGTCCAGTCCAGGCGCCGAAAATGAGTTCACTTGCTCCGAGATTGGTAAATTTGCTTAGAGTATCTACTCCGATATCTTCTTCCTCTCATCTAGGTACCTCTCTCGCTATATAAATGTCTTTGTTAGTTACTGATATTTGTATGGATACGTGAATACGTGGTGTGTGGGTACAGTCACAGCATCATATTTCTTTACTTATTTATAAACCGCGACTTTCTTTTATCTTTTGTTAATAGGTTTACTATGCTTGGTAGTGAAATATCGATTGTCCTGTGTTGCTTTCATTTTACATGCGATCAAATTGACGACTTGATTTTAGTTTAGAAATGATTGTTTTCATGGCTTACGTAGTGCTGGTTGAAACTGGTTTAATTTTTTCCTGAGAAGGATTTTCTCGAACAGTTAATAGAAATAATGAAATTGAGTTAAAAAAGATGTTGCATGGTTTTAGATGAAATCAGAATGGGCCTTTGGGACTTAATTTAAAGGAATTTTGCGCCAGCTACGAGTGTGCAGAGAAGCTCAAACTCGTGGTTCTCGACCGAGACATTTGATGTTGGCGATAGGGATGAGAACAAAACTGAAGTCGAAGAAGATTTTGATGATCTTCTTGGCAAGCCCGAGACACAAGCGCACGGCGTTGATCCAAAAAGGGGTTGGGCTTTTCGTGGCGTGCATAAGGTATTTGATGTTAGTTATGGCTTCAACATAGTCATGGTGCATTTAAGCTAGTTAGTGTTACATGCAGCAAGTGTTAAGAACTGCAGGCCCTGGATTACTAAAGATTTTGTACCATGGATTTTGTAATCTTGGTATTATCCTGTTCGGTTTGAGAATTCCCAACTTTTAAAGCATAGGAATTCCTTTATGCTATAAGTCTTGTTTTGTTTATGAGAATCTTGGTTTAGAGAAAAAGAAGTGATGATTTTGTGTCAGCTCTTTTCATGAGTCTCTAGAAACTAAAAATTGCTGTTCTTGCTAATACATTATCGAGTGTGATTTAGATAAGCATATGTCAAAAAAATGTCTTGTAAGGCCTTTCATATGAAGATTGCACTTTTCTAGTCTTTTTCAAAAGAAACTTGCATTTTTTTGTTCATGTTCTAGAATTTTGGTTTCTTGATTTATATAATTTAGTGTTTTTTATTTTGACTGAAGAACTTACCCACTCCTTGATACGGATTTGCACAGGCAATTATTTGTGGAAGAGTTGGGCAATCCCCTGTTCAGAAGATATTGAGGAATGGACGAACAGTCACGATCTTTACAGTCGGAACCGGAGGCATGTTTGATCAGAGAATTGTAGGAGCAAATAACTTGCCAAAACCTGCTCAGTGGCATCGAATTGCCGTGCATAATGAAGCACTCGGTGCATATGCTGTTCGACAGCTTAGCAAAAAGTATTGACCTTCATCTTTTATATAACTGTGCTCAAATAGTTTATCTTCCATCCCTCCTTCCACCAACCAAAAGAAGGTTATCTGCATATTGCTTGCCTCTAATCCATTGATCCTTTTTGTAGTTCTTCTGTTTATGTTGAAGGTGACATTGAAACAAGAGTATACAATGACACGATCAATGGTGATGTGAAAAGCGTGCCAGAAATATGTGTCCGTCATCAAGGTGCCCATCCTTATTTTATAACTGGCTTTCCTCCCATTAATATTCTTATTTCTTATAATTTCTTTATGAAACTTCTGAAGTGAACTAAAGCAACTTGAGGGTCAAAATGTGTTTTAAGAACTACTTTATCTGCGACTAATAGCTTAGTCTGTCTGGAAGTATCCCATGTTTTTATGATATTCCTAGTAACTTTTGAAATACTACACAACTATGAAATGAGTGTTATATATCCAATTAAACTTAATTCTGATTCAGGAGAGCAAGGAAAGGGTGCTTCTTGATTATATATGAGATATTTATTAGAATACCTGCACATCTGCTGCTAAAGTAACTGCTCTGTGAATTACCTGCTGCAGGCAAGATTCGCCTAATAAAATCTGGAGAAAGCATCAGCAGCATTTCTTTTGATTCTCTAAGTAAGTCTTCTTCTATTAGCAAAATTTGAAAATGATGGCATGCGTTGCAGTCTCTAGTTCCATGTTTGTGGAAACTGTGTCTGAGAAATGATATATTTCTACTAGAAAATATCTATACCTTCCAGTTTTTTTATTTGTAACTGTAAATCTAATTATCGATGTGCCCTTTTTTCACTGGCAGGAGAAGGATTGCTTTAGCTTGAAGTTAATGATCTAAAGAAATCAAGTTTCTGGAGAGCAAAAGTAGACATCCAAGTGTTAGCTTTGTATTACTGTAACCAGGACGAAACAAAAAGCTCCATTCTCAATGCAATCTATTTTTTTCCTGCTCACCTTTCTGTTATTTGTCCCCTGAGTATCATTCTCTGTCTTTTTTAATTTTTGTTTTCTCTTCTTTTACATGTTTAAATTCTTAGGTAACTGTTTAACTCTGAAGCTTCATTCGCTAAATTGATTTGCAGAAATGCGATTGCTGGGTGTGCCTATGCTGGTGATAAATTCATTATAGAATATTGTGGGACTTAAGAAAAAAAGTGGGGTGTTTTTCAATTACATGAACCAAAGTTGATCATTTTAACATACATGGACTGTCATAAGCTTTTAGATGATTCTTCGTTGCAATAGAGGTTAGTAAAATTACATACTAGCACCAATATATTGGAAAACCAGTGGCTATCCTACGAAAAGTAGGTATATTATATATGAATTACTAATCAATAAGGGTTTTCTTTCTGTCTCTGCTTGAAGAAGATAGTCTTTTTTCTAAAGACTTTTAACTCAATGGAGAGAAATTGTAAGGACTGTGTAGGAAAATTATAGGTCCGGTCTTATTGAACTAATATTCTCAAATTTCAGATATGAAGCATTTGGATGCTTTTTGCTGGTTTTGCATAATATTCTTTTGATATTAATTAGTATTTTGATTTACCTTGCAATGGATTTCATATTACATATATCCCATATTTTCAGACTGAAGTTGCACAGTTTTTTTTCCTTTCATAGTTGTAGCTGGTCCTATAGCATAACTCTTACTGTACTGAAGTTTTTTAAGTTAATTTAAAATTGTGATAGTGATTATTTGAACTGGTGCTTAAGCAGAAGCTTATAAAACAGTCTTGTCTTATTTTGACTTTGTCTTTTAATGGTATTGGTGGCTGCTTCAGGAGATTTGATATTAGTTGGCCTGAGTGGTTTGAGCAGGGTTTGGTTGGCTGATAGTATATTCCACTTCTCTGTCCTCAGATCATCATAATTTTATAATAAGATATCCTTATTAGCAACTGAGATTTATTTGATATGGCTTGTATCAGATTGGTACTTTTGTGAACTTCTATAACTCTCAGGTTCCCTTTTTTAGTTAGTTCTTATAATAATATTGATATACAAAATTAGAATATGAATTTTTTTATGTTAATGATTCCTTCACCTCTCCCCCAGTAAATTATTTTTATGCTAGGATTTCATTTCCTAAATTAGAACCTTAGAATCAAGGAATACACTGGATGATGGTATCTTAGACATACAGGACCAGGAAGTGATTGTATTTGGAAATTAAAGAGATAAATAGAAAAACACCAAGATGATTTTTAAATAACATTTACTACTGTTTACCAGGTTGACAGATGTATGTAGTATGTTAGTTCTGTCATTTTTGGTTGACCAAAGAGGTAAGTCCAAATATAGATACTAATGGTGAGAAATAAAATAGAAAAAGAACAGGCTTGATAGAATAATTGATTCCAGGAGTTGTATTATATTATATTTTAGGAAATGAATGTCCACTTTAGGAAAAAGATTAGGCACTGAGAATCTCTCAAGAGGACAGTTGTCACTTATACTCCTTAATATTTCTAAACTAGGACAGTGGGATCAGTTGTAATGGCTGATATCATTTCATCAAATAACCCCATAACAGTCTGCCTTGAGTTTTCAGTGGCTGTTTTTTGCTATTAAAAATTGATTTTAAAATTTTTTATAACTTAAGTAAGCCATGGATGGAGGTGGAACAAAAACATTTATAGTACATCTATTACAACACAGTATAGGAGGAAATCCTATGTGTCTGGCCATTGGTTGGATGATAATCCACCAGAGGAGACTCCACTTTGGTTGGATATTGTGTATAAATACACACTACTTACTTACAGTTTCACATTGTCTCCTTAAAAATGAAAGCCATTCTGATAGTTTCTGTGTTCATTATAATATGCAATGTATCAGCCCTAGATGCTTGCCCTAAATGTGGGAAAACTCTAGTTCCATACCCACTGAGCACAGATGAAAACTGTGGAAACCCTAGTTACAAAGTTTATTGCAACAACAACATTCTTCAGTTCTTGTCTGCTGATGGATTTTTCTATGACATCCTCACCATTGACCCTGATGCTTTTTCTCTTGTCATAAGTCCACCTCTTTTGCAGAAAAACTCTTGCTACTCTGCTGATCTCTCTTCAGGAGGGTTTAAGCTTGATGAAAACTTACCCTTCAACATATCTTCTCGTAACACTGTCATGTTGTTTAACTGCTCTACTAGCATCCTCTTGTCGCCACTGAATTGTTCCACAAACAGCATTTGCAGAGACTTCGAGAGATCGGAGATGGGAAGTGGATGCACAGACACCCTTTGCTGTCATTACAAGAAAGATGCATCCATGACGGCTCATAGAATCAGAATCAGGCTTGGAGGTTGCACCTCCTATACTTGCATCGTAGATGCAAAGCCCGGCGATCCTATTGAGTCATGGAACTATGGCATTGAATTGCAGTGGTCGCCTCCCTTTTCTTCTCGGAGGCAATGATCATGACTTTCAAAAATACTCTTCTTATTACCTTTCCAGGGGGGGAAACCGGATGATCCTTCATAACTTGATTGATTTATGCATTTCAGTAAATAACCGAAACACGAGTTGCAATCAAGAATGGAGAACTATGAGCATCAAACAGACCCTCTCACTTCACTTTCTGCGTCTTTTTCACTTAATGCTTTATGTTTCAACTTTACTGTTTGCTTGCTATGTCTATAGTTGCTATGCTCTTGTCTTATCATCACTTAATAAAATCCAAATATTCAAAGTGCTTCTATGATGTGGTTACTATATCTATCATCCAAGATGTAGATTTCATTATTCAAGAGCAAGAAACTGGTAATCTCGTTTCAAAGAAGCTTACACAAATATAAGAAGGTATCATCGTTAGATCCAAACTTGGATCGTTTAATGGACTGTGTGGGCTTCAAACTTAAATGGGTTTTTTTTGGCTGCTTGGTTTCTGTTGTTAATTTAATAATTTTGCACCTTATCTTGCAATAACTAAATAGATACATAATGTATAAATATATATATATATATATGTATCACCTGATCAATAAATATATAAACTGATTCTTAAAAAGAAATTGTAGAATTTCTCCACGCACCAACCAAAACCAGAAAAGATGCAGGAAGTAGGCATGAAGATGTTAAAACACTTTCTCCATTTCTTCTGAATTGGTGTTTTTCTTTTACCAATCTTCTTATGTAATAACAGATGAAGAAAAGGACAAACCAGAAATCACAAAGAAAAAGAAAATCAGACAGACATATAACAAACCAAAAACCATGAAGGTGGGATTCCTATGAATCATGATCACCACCGCAGAAACACAGGGCAACTGAAATTATTGCCCTTTGATGAGTGAAAACTCTCTCTCTCTCTCTCTCTCTCTCTCTCTCTCTCTCTATCTTTCTCATTTATACTCTACAAATCTGAAAATAATATACAAAGTGAACAACAATCCCTCGACTCAGCCACACTATTCATTACTTTCCATGTCCAGTCTTCCGCCTTCCATCGGCTGCAACAGCCTGTCTTCCAGGCTTCTGGATATGTGAACCAATACCATTTGGTAATTTCCTTGTTGGTGCAGGAATTAGTGATGGGATTAAGCTCCTACAAGCCAACATATTATGTTTGTCAAGAAATTTGATTCAACCATTTGGTAGCAATACAAGTATTTGATGCTACATATGTAAAATTTCGAGGAGAAAGTAAAACAGATAACGAATTATCAGAATAGTCACCTAGTCTCCGTTGCCTTTGCTATCTTGGGTTGCGTTTTCTTTGCTTTCGAAGTCAAGCTGGGAATGTTGGTAGCTCTAGTTTCACTTAGTTGAAGATTTAATTGCCATGGCAGGTCTGTTTCTGAGCAATCACTAGTTGCAGCATCATCAGACTCATCTGTAGTGGCAGCTTCATACCGAATCCTTTGTACCTCAAATTCTTGGTTGTCTTTACTGATTACAGGCAGTTTACTCAAAGTTTGCTCTGGATATACTTTCGTTGGTTCGCAGATATAACTTTTATATAACTTTTGAGGGAGCTGTCTGTTTTCGGCTTCCCAATTTCCTGCTTGGTTTTCATCTTTACTTACTTCATTATCCTTATTCAACATTACTTTATCGATCCAATCACCACTACATTCTCTCTCATCTTCTTTTGTCTCTGCTATTGAGGGACTGCTAGCAGGTGGCCAGGGAGGTGAATTCATTAGCTCATGGAGATCAAGGCTGTGTCTTCTCGAGTTACCATGAACCTGCAAAGCCAGCAAGATAATGTGAGATCTTTCTTCAACCTTCCGTATCTTGTTCAACTTTGGAGAGATACTGCCAACCAACCAAATGGACTAATGATGAACTTTCATTCAAAGATCTCAAGCATCCAGCTGTTTCAACAACTTATCATTTTTGTTTCCTTAAGGACATGTTTCTACCTCATGCTATCAATAATACCATGATGAACTTGTATACAGCCTGAAGTAGGATTGGGTTTTCTCTAAGTTTTAATTTTATGGAATAAGAATAAGAACAAAATATAAATGAAATAATAACGAAAACAACGTGCTAAGCCCAAGCGAATTCCATATTTAACTCAATAGAATATATATATAGATATATTACTGTAAAATTTGTTCAATCATGCATCCAATGTGGAAATTATAACTAAATTCAGTATATCAAATAATGAAGATGTAGTGATGGAAGAATAAAAATATAAAAAACCAAACGCAGTATGAATAAAAATGTGATTTCAGCTATAGTTTTTAACATGAGGCACTTCCCATAATGCTTCTCTAGAAAATCTCTAGTGGCTTGGGTAAACATTAAAAGATCATCTATAATTTTCTCTGAGCAATTCATCTTACTATGGTAAAACTGGCCTACCATTTATTACACATTACACAGTAAAACATACCTCCATGCTACTTGAATCTTCTGTCTGCTGCGTATGATTGGAAAAACCTCCCAGGCCCTGCCATTTAGGTTGTGTAGGCAAAAACCCAAGCGACTTCCTTCGAGATTTATCTGGGGTCCTGGCTCGAGGAATCGGTTGTTGCTCCATCTCTCCTCCTTCCTTCTTTGCCAAGGCTGCCTTAAGACTGGCAATCTGGTACCAAGATAATAGAAACAAATAAAAAAATTACTTAAAGTTTGGGCATAACACCAAACAGGATGAATCAAATAGGAAATAAGAGAAACAATAATAAGAAAATGTTTCAGAAGTTTGTTATGCAAATAAGAAAGAGGGGTAACGGCAATAGACAGCTATACAAGATAATATTCATACAATAACAAAAATATGGGTTTCCAAATGAGGAATCAGTAAAGTCATAAGTTTGAAGCACAGCTAAACCTGTTCTTTCAGCTCTTTCACCTCTGAGCTATCTTTGTTTACTCGAGCAGCACCCAGTTCAACAGTCCCAACCCGTTCAGCAAATTTAAGTGTACTGAGTGTTTCTCCAAGAGCTTCAGGCTCGGGACTGATGTGAACAAACATGAGTGTCTTGGCCTGCCCACCTGATAGTGTGTAGACCAAAACACAGTTATAGAAGAGAAGAAAAAGAGAGAGAGAGAGAGAGAGAGAGAGAGAGAGAGAGAACAAATTTGTGGGTTAGACAAAATGATTTTACCAAGTGAATCTTGAAGCAGTTGGGTGAGTTTACTATTCCTGTAGGGAACATGTGAATTTTTCTGAGCAAGGGAAGATATGACATCTCCTAAAGCGGCTAGAGACTTGTTGATATGCTGTGCCTCCTTTAATCTATCTCCAGTTGCCTCAGATTTGTCAACTCTTTCACTTCCAGCCAGGTCAACCAAATGCATAGATCCACGGAGAATGCTTCCAGATGTGAGGTCTCTTCCTTGAACATGCACTGTAAGGCAGCTGCAGATAGAAGCCATGTAGAATTTAGCAAGAAGCATAGCACAGAATATGACTTGGTCAATGTTCCCAAACAAAACAAATAAATCACCAATCTGCACCTATGGGACCGACTACTCCGGTCATTCATTGCTGTAGCACCTACTGCACGATTCCTATGCCCAAGATTCATCAAATTTATAACATCAGATGTTGATGATACAGGTACAAGGTTTGCATCTGGTACATTGATTCCACTGTGAGAACTATTACGAATTTCTAGTGTATTAAAGTGTTAAGGTAAAAAAAAAGAGCCACCAGACATTGAGAAAAAAACATAATAATACAAAGAGGAAGAGCTGGTGTTATGAAGGATATCTTTTGTTTTGGCCATCCATCACAAGGAGATCTCTGACTTGCTCATTGTAGATCTCAAGCATTTGTACAGAAATATCATAGCAAATGGTTTCTTTCCTTTGATTTGAGAGAATGAACAGGTCAGTTAGTGCCCTGTAGTTTACACCTAGGCCTTCTTCTGTAAGTTCCTTTGGTCCCGTCTGGATGGTACATGAGATAGAACAAACGTAGTTAATTGGGAAATCAAAAGGAAGCTACGAGTAAAGAACCAAAATAATAGTAGACGAATATCTAATTAGTGTAACTCTTACCATAGTGTGAGTTTTCCCTGATCCTGTTTGGCCATAAGCAAATATGCAGACATTATAACCATCAAGAACAGACCGAATTAATGGCTGCGTATCTGAGAATACCTCCACTGCAGGAAAAAGAAGTGTTGGTCAGGATTTAAATTGAAGACCGTAAAGCATGAAGGAAAAAGATGATGGAAACTTCCTAACCTTGGGTTGCAGAAGGACCAAAGACCTTGTTGAAAGTAAATGATTTCCTTCCCTCTTTTCCATATTTTGAAGGAGTGATAATTGTGATAGTTCCTTCATCTATGTTATCCACACTACTCAAATGTTTTGGTTGTGCACCCAAGAAAGGTCTTACCCTGCAGTAGATCCTTATATTTCCTAATAATATATCATCAACCACTAATTAGTAAGTAACTAATTTAGTCCGTCAGCCTCAAAAAATTAAACTAGTAATTGCACCTTTAAGGTCCTGAACTTGATTGTATAACTTGCGGTTTTCTTCAAGAACCCTCCGGTATCCTGTAGCAGCATGAGCTAAACCATGCAAGTGTTTACCTATTTTGGAAAGCCAAAAACCAGAGTAAGATTCTCATTTCTAAAAACAATAAAAAAAAGCATGTAAGGAAACAATTTACTTTAAAACAATACCTAGATTGTTGAACTCCTCCAGGTACTTCAACTGAAAAAACTGCATTCCTGCTTTTGTAGCATTTAAAGTTTCTTTCAGTTCCTACGAAGAAGTGATTCCAATTGAATATAGATCATGACAACAGGCTAAAAGGTTTAGTAATAAAAAATTGATGCTACTATAGATTACCTGAATATCTGTTTGTTGTTGTTGAACTAATATCTGATGTCTCAGAAAAGGAATTTCTGATCTTTCATCACAACCAGAATTTTGTTCTTGAACTTCTTGACATTCATCTTCTTTGATCTGTGTTGCAGCTCCTTCAACCTTAAATCATTGGATCAACGATGTCATTGAGTAGTGGTCAAGGTACACAGCATTCAAAAAAAGGCCTAATTGAGATTCTAATACTTTAACCCAAGCAAGCCTTTCTGCCTCACATTTAACATTCCAAGATAAAACCTAATCTGTACCTTAATATCCCATGAATCAATTTCTTGGAGAGCATCGATCGAATCAAGTCCTGATATATCTTTTGCATTTGCTTTCAACTGTCAAATTACATGGAGAAATAGATCATAAACTAAAGCACTGGATAAAAAAGAAAGTGTATGCATGATTCTTATATGTCAAATCAGACCATTACAGCATATTTTCATTTTGTTCTACACATTAATCATATTGACTAGAGGTGTAGCAATGGACTTTTCTCAGTTCATTTCAAAAGGTTCAACACCACTGACAGATTACGCAGCTACTCACCGCCTCACTTTGGCTTGTCAAGCGACGCTCAAACTCCTCCATTACTTTATTCAGCATAGATTCCACAATCTGTCATAAGAAGAATAATTTGTCGCTTAAGTAAACTGTATTGTAAAGACTAGTAAGAACAAATATTTAAGTTAGACAAGGAAATTGAAAAATGTATGGCCAGAATTTGATACACATGAAAAATATTCTCTGGTTTCATTACCCGTACATTTTCCCATTTCCTTGGTTTTCCGATCTTCATTAGGATCATTCATTCTAAAAGATGAACTAACATGGTCATGATTTGAATAATATTTACAAGATTATATTCTACGGGATCTGAGTCAGAATTTACCCCTTAATTAGATATCCTTACATATGAGAGATATTTATAAAAAAAAAATGTATATAAAAGCAAAGGAACACTTACAACTGGAATTTCTTCTTGCTTCTTATCTGAGAGGACTGTACGGACAAGCATATTTATGGAACGAGAACTACCCTGCTGGTTAGAATTCAAGGCAGGCTAATGGTTATTGCTTTACATATCAACATAACGAATATAATATTAGTATTAAGAATCAGTAAAGCTCACTAACTCCTTCATTGAGATCTTGGCCAAGATCACTGTTTGAGGACTGCTCGCTCGACAGGCCATCTGCAGACTTGTCACCTATTGACAAGGTCCTTGTCACATAATTCATAAACAGCTCTGGATTCTTCCGTCCAAAG